AGGAATTGGACTTGAAATATCATCAAAACCTGTTTACACTGCTTTTATTTCCTTAATTAAAGGGGAAAAAGTGAAGAAACAAAGTGTGTGATCAGAGAAAAGATCTATGAGAGAAAAGGAATACTACAAACATAGCAATATAAGCCATGAGAAAAAAAATAACAGTGAGAACTAAAAAATAAAAAAGAAAAAGCTTTTTGAAAGATAATATGAAACAGATAATAATTTCATTTGGGTTATTATATTAAATTATTATAATTTATATGACTTAATATTTATAATTTAAAAATAATTGGATATATTACCCTAGTTGACATAAGGCCAACAGCCGAGCCACATACATGAGCCCTCAAGTTTTGCGCCCTTTAGCTAGTTTTTTTTTTTTTTTTTTTTTTTTAAGCTATCTATTTGGTGTCTAGCCAAAAAAACATCAGACATCATAATTCATGGCGTATTTTTGTCATTGTTGTTGCAGTTATCTATTATGGCGTCTAAGACAACATAATACGTTACTTTTCTCCGCTATTTATCAAAATCCATTAGATCTATTATTATTATTCTTCATTTAAAAACTGACGCCAAAATTGTGTCGTAAAAATATTATTTTGCACTAGTGTGCCTTCATTTTTGAGGTTATAACTTAGGTTTTTACACATTCTGGCCAAGAAAAAGAAGTAGCATTTTAACACTATGAAATGCAATTGAATATGGATCAATTTGAAAATTGAATGAAGAGATAAGAAATTACGTGTGAAGTTTCCATTAACCAAATGTCATGAATCCCATTCTTCAAGTAGGTTCGACGATGTGAATTCAATGGATTGGTACATTTTTAAGAAAACATTAAAAATTTAAAATCAAAGGTATCAATGTATCTTTTGACCTTCTAACTTTACACAATATTTTAATTAATTTAGTTCTTTAATTTTATAAAATATCTTTTTTAGAAGTATATTCCACCAACATCAAAATTAAATCTTCTCTTAATACTTATGATAGAAGATAGATCCTTTCCAACTAAAATGCAATATATAAAAATATTGGAATTCATACTCCCAAATATTTGCTTAAAATGATAAGAGTTCTTACTACTTTACACTAAATATTGGGAATGTTTCTGACAAGCAACTCAAAGTAATTTTCTTATAAATAATTATAGGTACAAATAAAAAACATTATTTCAAAAATTATAACTAATATGAAGATTTTATGTATACAATTATGAGTGTAAAAATATTTTTAGTTATTTAGTTATTGTTTATGAAGAATATTAATTAAAATTTTGAAATTAAATTGAATTCACTTTGAGCCACCAATAGATTTCGCATACTTTAGCATAGCTATTTAAAAATTGAATTAATGAAAGAAAGATTAGGGGGCAACGGATCGCATTAGATTGTTGGAATCAATCTTTACATCATATCCAACTCTATCAAGTTAACAAATTTGCATATCTTTTAAAGAATATTAAGTTTGTTATTAGAAGTATTATGGCATATTTTCAGGCTTAAAGAGCACTTATAGTAGTTACAAATTTCTTATCAACAAGATCTTCATATCGATAGTGATATTTAAACTGACAGTCTTATAAGTTATGAATCAAATTCTTTACTAACTGACAATACATAATGTTCAATGCATTATGCTTTACATAATAATATTCCATGGTCCCTTATTCGGATGATGCGCTCCTGTGTGATTTGGACAATATGGCTTGTTTATTATACGTTTTCTTTGCATTAGGCTTTATTTAATTTTTTTGTCATTTTAAGATATTTACTTAGTTAGCTTTGCTTGTGTATTTGATTCATTAATGTGATAAATAAATCATACTCCCTCCGTCCCAAATTATAGGACACTTTTGAAAGAATTTTTCTATCTCAAAATATAAGACACTTTTGATAGATTAATGTTTCGTTAAATGTACCAATTTCAATATTACCCTTTCATTCTCTACAATTAATTTATGTCCCTTCTCTTTTCAATATATTAAATGATGGGTGTTTATGAAAGTTTATATTTTTATTTTGAAAAGATAAGGTTGCTAGGTGTATTTAATGAGGTTTATTGGTATGTGACATTTTATCTAAAAGTATATTATAATTTGGGATGGAGGGAGTAGTATTTATGCTAATGAATGATACGTTTTATTTTAAATTTTATTTTTAAAATATTTAATATTAAAAACTGATTAACATTTAACCAAAACATGACACAACTTGACTTTCTTATTTTTAATTTAAATAACATAAATTATAAAAAGTATAGCAAATCGTATTATTTACAAGAAATAAATAATACAACTTAAAATTTTAACTTTGTACAAATGAACAAAAAAATGGTAAAAAGAAAAGTTTATTCTAAAAAAAATGGTTTCGTTATATTTAGCAAATTTGCTGCTTAGCCTTTTCTCAATCACTTTATTTTGTTATATACAGGTGCACAGGGCGATCAATAACCAGGGCACAGACCAAGCCATTAAAAATGAATTTCTATATTTTGTTTATTATTTTCTATATTTATGAAAAAAATAGTAGACATTTTTCATCAAATCAAATTGTGATAATTCAGCTAAAAAAAAAATGCTTCACGGCTTATCACAAGTCTTCAATGTACTAAACTCTTTTGGCTTCATTGGATGACTTTACAACTTGAACATTTGAAAATTGAATGAAGCGATAAAAAATTACAGGTGAAGTTTCCTTTAGCCAAAAAGGTCATGCATGTTAAATTATTAGAATCCCAGTCTTCATGTTCAATATTTTGAAGTCAATGAATTCGTACATTTTATTTAGAAAACATTAAAAATTTAAAAATATAGAATTTGCATTACCCATTTTATATGCCACATAATTTTAATTTTAAAAAGGAAAAAATTAATTTGTAGGTTCTTATAGTTTCTTTCAATTTTAAATTAGGTTCCCATGGTTTTTTTTTGTTTTAATTGAGCTATATAGTTTGATCCATTATATATGTTAATCCTTGAAGGTCAAAAGTTTTAATAAATAATGATTAAGTTTCCCAAAAAAATCACTTTACAAAATTTGATTTAATATTTTGGTAAAAAAGAAAATTTAATTTATACAATATTTACATTTTTATTATTTTTTATGAAAATTCTCATGTATAACAATTAGAAAAAATGACAAAAAGAAATACCCTGAAAAACGCAAATAATGACAATTAAATACCCTCAAAATGTGATAATTATTACTTAGTCTCAAGGAACTTGTCTGGCATATTAATTCATGATGAAATGATATATTTTCCCTTAGTAACTATTATCAATTGCAAAATAACTACTTTGATTGGGTTATTAATTAAAATGGAATAGAAAATGATTATTTCTTTTCTGAAAATTTGTTTATCTATAAATGCCACTAAAATGGTAATTTGCAGAAAGGAAGTAGAGATTTTTAAAAAAGAAAATATTATTTTTTTCATTTTGTTATAAATTACAAATTTTAAAGTATTTCTCGTCAAAAAAAAAAAACGTTTTCCCCGTATACCTTGACTATTTTACTGCCACTGAGTAATTAACTACTTTTCCTCTATAAATATCCAACCGATAGCATTCTTTCAGTCATGACACCTTGTTTTCAAATATAGTTTGATCATTCTTCATTGCTGCAATCATGAGTCCTTGCATAAATGTTGTGTTTCTTTTGCTTTTCCTGTTCTTTCATTCCTCACAACTCTGAGACTCCACAAACTCTACCTCTCCTTGCCATGAACGGGAGCGACAAGCTCTTTCAAAATTTAGATCAAGTTTCCTCAACACCTCTCGTGGACCACTTGGTTCTTGGGAGGGACTTAATTGCTATCACTGTAAAGGTGTTAGTTGTGATTTTATTTCTGGACATGTTCTCAAGCTTGATCTTAGGTTGCCATGCGATTTTACATTCCAGGACTCTACTGTACTTCCCACAACTATACATTAGATGTGAGAGCTGTGGACCCTTCATTGTTGGAGTTGGAACATTTGAATTACTTGGACTTGAGTGGAAACTTTTTTAAATTCAAGCACTATACCAAAGTTCATTGGTTCCATGAAGCAGCTGAGATACCTCAACCTCTCTTATTCTTACTTTAGTGGCATGATTCCCCATCATCTTGGTAATCTTTCAAACCTTCAAGTTCTTGATCTTTCGCGACAATTTGCAATTCTATATGCTAATGACATTCGTTGGGTTTCAAAACTTTCATCATTGAGACACATTGCAATGACTGGAGTGTCCCTTGGGAAGGCACACAATTTGTTTCGGGTACTTTCCATGCTTTCTTCTCTGTTACAAGCAGAGTTTAGTAATTGTGGTATTGCCAGTGTCCATGCACATGGTTCAATTCCTGATGCTCTTCAAAATATGACCTCCTTAAGGGAGTTGGACCTTTCATGGAAGTCAATTTCTTCAATTCCACACTGGCTGGGTAATTTTCACTCTCTGATCCATCTTGATCTTTCTTGGAATTCTTTCAATGAAAGTAAAATCTCCATCTCCTCTATCTTGAACAACATATGTTCCCTCCAATCCTTAGACTTGTCCGGTGGCAAATATGAATCATTAGTGTCTTTGCTAAGTTTTGGCAGTGGAAATTTATCTCAATGCTCAATTGACAATTTTGAAGAATTATTCTTATCTTCCAATGGTATTAATGAGAGTTTGCCAAGCTGGTTAGGCGAGCTAAAGAACTTGAAAACACTTTATCTTTCAAATAATCTCCTTCATGGGCCAATGCCAGGTTGGTTTGGAGAGTTAGAGAACTTGAAAACTCTTGATCTTTCAAATAATTTCTCTCTGTGGGCCTATTCCAGTTAATCTTGGAAATTGTCTAATTTAGTTAAATTAGATCTTTCACATAACCTTTTGGAAGGTACCTCTTATGAGAACCACTTGAAAAGCTCATAAATATACAAAGTTTAGAATTAGGATTTAACAAACTTTTTTGTAAAGCTTGATTCAAATTGGACACCTCCATTTCAATCCTTAATAGATTTAGGAATGGCATCCTGCAACATAGGCACGGAGTTTCCACAATGGCTTCAAAACCAAGAGAGAATATTGGTCTTGGATTTATCCAATAACAGTATTAGGGGAACAATGCCGAAAAACATTGGGGATCAAAATATGGAGTTAAGAGTGTTAAATCTTAGGCATAATCTTATAGAAGGTTCAATGCCAAGCTCTTTGTGCAATTTAGAGAAGTTGTTCACTCTAGGACTATCATGTAACAGACTTTCTGGTGAAATTTCCAATTGTTGGAGCAATGCTAGTCAAATTTGGGTAATAGATCTTTCATCTAATAAGCTGTTAGGCACTATTCCAAGCACATTCTGGAATTTATCTGAAATGTGGTGGTTAGGTTTGAGCAACAATTTACATGGGGATCTTCAACAAGTCTTACAAAGACATTCAGAATTAAAAGTCTTGGACCTTGGTGAGAACCATTTTACTGCAAAGATACCTTCCTGGATAGACAATGAGGGATTGCCACAACTTCACATTCTAAGGATGTCACAAAATTTGTTATCCGGTGATATTCCACCTTCCCTTTGCAAGCTCCAAAGATTGGGAATCTTGAATCTTTTATTTTCTAATTTGTCAAGTTCAATCCCTTCTTGCATTTGCAATCTTAATACAACCAAAGATTTCAGCTTATTTTACGGTACCTTTTATATAGATGATGTAATTGCCAAAATAACAATGGACGAGGGTGTTGAACAAGTTTTGAAAGGATTGCAACAAGAATACACTTCAAATTTGAGGTATTTGACAAATATTGACTTGTCAAATAACAATTTGAAGGCTCCAATTCCAGAAGGTTTAACTTGTCTCTCGAATTTGATTGGCTTGAACTTATCACACAATAAATTTTCAGGAAAGATCCCAAGCAAGATAGCAAACATGAAGTCATTAGAATCCACTGATCTATCAAGCAACCAACTTTTTGTTCCTATTCCCAGCAACATGTTCGCCATGACTTCATTGAGTTTTTTAAATTTATCAAACAAAAATTTTTCAGGACCTATTCCTAAAGGGGCTCAATTCTCTACCTTTAGTCCATCTTCTTATAATGGCAATCCATATCTTTGCGGAGATCTTCAAGGAAAAGCATGTCCTAGGATTGGGATAACCCACCCTCCTTCCAATCTTAGCTTTCATGAAGAGGATGATAACAAAAGAAAAGAAAAGGTGTTATTTTACTTTGTGATAGCATTGGGATTCATCACAGGATTCTGGGTAGTTATTGGATTTTTTTTGCTCAACAAAAAACGGAGACATGCTTCCTTCAGACATGTGGATAACTTTGTTGACTTCATGTATGTGGAAATTCATATCAGGAAGGCAAGATTCAAGAACAAGAGCAGGAACCTGGTTGATCATTAACAACTTCTATTGTCAATTACATGTATGGTCCATGTTGTGTGTTCCCACAAGCATTTTATTCTTGATAGTCCAATGTCATTGATTGTCTTGCCAACGATGAACTACGTTATTGTTCATGGTTATCTCTTGTTTCATGCAGTTGGTGTGAGGAATTATGAATAACATATAACTTCTGTTGTGAATTTGATAGTAATTAATTTGAAGCCATGATGAATATTCTAGCATTTGTTCTCCCTTTGGCTTTTCATATGATGGTATTATAAATGATAAATTTCTCTAAATTATAGTGATTGAATAAAATCATATATGAAAGATGATTAAAAAGAAAAGTGCTGTAAAAAGCTGTTCACGTTTTATATTCGTCAGTAAATTTTAGAACACTGGTTGTGGAAATATGGAGGAATTGGACATGAAATCATAAAGCTGGCTGCCATGATAATAATAACAAAAAAGATGGAGTTTTTGTGGAAATGTGAAGGAATTGGACTTCAAATGTCAAAAACTATTTTCACTGCCTTTATTTCCTTAATTAAAGGGGAAAATGAAGGAAAAAGGTGTGATCAGAGAAAAGAACAATGAGAGAAAAGGACTACTACAAAGATAGCAATATAAACCGTGAGAAAGAAATAACAGTGAGAACTGAAAATAAAAATAGAAAAAGCTTTTGGAAAGATAGCATGAAACAGATAATAATTTTCATTTTTGTTATTCTATTTGATCATTATAATTTTTATCACTTAATGTTTATAATTTAAAAATAATTAAATATATTACCTCAATTGACATAAGGTCAATAGCCGAGCCATGTACATAAGCCCTCAAGTTTTTGCACCTTGTAGCTAGATTTTAGGTTCAAGTTATTTTTTTTTATTTTCAAATAGAAGAATACCCTTATATAGTTTTTTAAGTTTACTGTACAATATATTAATATTCATTTAGTATTAATTTGTATAAAAATCAGGAACATCTCATATATGACATAGGTGTATTAAGTTGGGAATGAGGAGTAACTACTCTAGAATAGGAGGAGAGGAAAAACAAGCAAAGGTAATGAAAAAACACTACATTTTAACTTAAAACTTTAAGGCTCAAATTTGTGGGACCTTTCTCTTTATTTTTATATTAATTATTAGGCTCAATTTTATTTGATATGTGACTTTCCACATCATCCAAGTCCATTGACACTTAGACAACCTAACAAAGAATAATAGTAAGAGCTATCATAGAGTTTTATTTTGTTGACATCTAGAATTTTCTCATCATGACACCCCAATTGTAAGCGCTTTAGTGCCTATTTGGATACCCTCAATTAATCTATTATGCTTATCAAAGCCATGGTTTTAGCAACAACAAAAAAAAAAAAAAAACGAAAACCAAACACCCTCAAATTTTTGTTAATTGCATTTGGCTGAACAAAAAACTTTGTTGTGGAGGAAGCTAATCTCAGCAACTTATGAGAATTGATTACCACATTGGAGTCATTGTGTTGCCAGGGTCATTTTATTTCAATTTTAACCCTTAAAAATGGTGCTTGTATATTGGTGCTTTCTAGTATTGTCAGATGGCAATGGCTTTTTGGGGTTGATAATCAAAGTAAGGGTGAACCAGTGACTTTTGTTAATTAGTATATATATATATATATATAATTATTAATCACTTCATGTCAAAGTAATAACTATTACATATTTATTTTATTTATTAAATATAATTTAACATATCTAATAACATTATAAAAAGATAATGTCCTTTATTGTAATTTATACATCTAAAATTAATTTTGTCTAAAGTCATCCTATAATCACATTATAATAAAATCCATTATAATCAAAATCAATCATATTAATTAACTTTTTTTGTAATTAATTATACCATGAAATCCAAGCACACCCTTAAATATAAAAATAGGTCTTCTCTCATAAAGCTTCTACAAAATTTACTTGGGCTTCAACCAAAATGTGTTTTTCTTGTGCTTTTAGTTCACAAGCGTGTCTGATATTTTCAATATTTATTTGGGCCCACAATTTGATATCTATGAAGGGGCCTAAGATGCTCTGTCCATTTGTGTTTGTGTTCCTCGTGCCACTGATGTGGGCTGTTTCTTTTTTTCCTTTTAATAAATTTGACTTTAATTTTTTTAAAAAAAGCACGGGACTAGTTTTATTTTATTGTTGGATTTACGTAAGCATGAAGAGGGGAATCAACAATAGATACTAGTATTTTACACCATAAACCTCATAGTTCACGACTTAAAAAAAAAAAAACCCGAAAAAGTTTATTTCAACTTGCATGAAATAAAATGGTATGCATGTTACTTTTAAATAATTATGTGCACAATTAAAATAGAATAATTCAATGTGATATATCATATAACATGAAATTCAAGAACCATAAGTGCATAAATGACGTTGCATAACACTTATCTTTTGGAAGATTGAATAGATTTATAGGCATAAAACATGGAAACAAATATGAATTTGGTAAAGATAACTACTTTGAATAACAGGAGCATATATCACATATATCAAACAATTTCATATAAATATATAGCCATATATATACGTTCGAGTAATAATGACAAAGCAATCAAGTTTCACTTTTAAACTACAACATTTGTTTGAAACAACTGAGGGTTATGTAACTCATTATATAAATCCATATAGATAGAAAAAGAACTGCTTGTTTCCATAGAATCAATTTAAAGACAATAAATTTTGAAAATCATTCTTTAGTAGGACTGATCAAAATGGAAAGTAAGTGTGAACACACAGTCCATAAGAGTAAATAATAAATCAAGCGCTGTTGAAAGTCACGAAAAAAGCTTGGACATACATTTCACGAGGATAGATAATCAAGTATTGACACACAATTTATGTGGATAAATAACCAACAAACACAAATACACAATCTAAGTGTAAATAATCAACATGGCTAGAAGCCACGAAAAAAGCACGAGTCCAAAACCCCATGAATAACAAGCATGGGTACAAAGTTCACGAATAACAAGCGTGAATGCAATGCTGACAAATATCAAGCTAGCTAAGACTTAACAATGATAGGTCAAAGGCTAATAGGACTTTCATTAGAAACAAATATATCATGAAATTAGTCCCTTAATTTAAATCAAGCATGCACAAGTTATAAAAATCAACATTGGGAGAATTACATCCAAGTCCCGCGCAAAGAAAATTAATTACTATAAGATCCATTAACAACTGAACTAAGGCTATTAACAACACAATCAATTGTCAATGGTTTTAATTCAGTTGTCAATGGACCTTATGGTAATTAATTTTCTTATGTGAAAATTCAATGTAATTCTTCCATCAACATTTTTGCTTTTCTTAACATAATCACCATAAAATAATATCATCAAAGTCCTCCACTGCATGAACCATAATATAAAATCACTGTATAAATCATAAGATCAATCAATATTAACATAATAAATCCTTGTGAAATTCATTCAAAAAACTAATTCTAATTCCTTTTACAAAATTTAACTTAATTTTAGAATTTCCATATATAATAGTCAATGACAAGATTAAACCATAGCATTAGATACATATATTATATATGAACATGTTTGATCAAAATTTTAAAGAAAGTGAAATTACTAACAAGTCATTGAGACAATATTCTCTTACCTTATACATTTTCAAATACATAATTTACTCCTAATTCATTGCTTTTGTGATACGGGTTGCCCCTTAATTCCCACAAGGGCAGAGGAAAATCAAAGAAGAAATCACAGCTCCCTCCTTCACACCAACACAACACAAAGCGAAAAAATGGAGGGAATAAGAAGATGACAATGAAAAACCAACGATGTGAAATAGTGAAAGAGGAGGATGATCTTGCAAACCAAACCTCTAGCAGTAGCACAGACACAACCACGATCACTAGTGGCGAATAGAATGAACGAGAGGGGAGGAAGAAAGGAAAAAGTCAATTACTCTCCCTCTCCCTGCAAGGTTGCAACACAAACCAAAGAAGGGAAAAATTCTTATGTAGCCCACGCTCACCCACAATGAACTCGACGGTTGAGTAAGACGGCAAAGGGAGGGGGTGCAAATAGCGTTCAGATCGGCCTCTATCCTGAGGTTTTATTCCATTGCCAAAAGAAAAAGATGGAAAAAGAAAAGGAAATCTGATATGCGATTTCCCTTTGTTTTTTTAAGGGTATTTTGGTAATTTCATAGCTTCAGAAAAATAAAATTTCTCCACTTTATAGAGGGAGGATTCAAACTCAACCTCATGAAAGGTCGCTGGCAAAGTTTCAACCAAACCCCCAATTCCTCGTTATATTCTTTCCAAAATATACTCAAAATACCTTATCACAAATTTTAAGTCTTCTTAAATTTCTAGACTATTACAATTTTGATGGTATTGGTTGAGACAAAAAGGTAATTTTATAAAGGCTAAAGCAAAATAAAAATAAAGATGCATATCAAAGGATTCAAACACTAGACCTTCAGATAGAGACTAACAATTACCACAAAGCTACCAATTTACATTGTTAAATTTACACCAAAAATTAATAAACATACATTTAAATTATCTAATTATAAATTTTAATTTAACTTTGAACTTTTGGATCATTACATTCTTCTTCCCTTAAAAAAATTCAATTCTCCAATGCTAAATATCTACTTTCAACTTCCCATGTAATTGCTAATGCTTTGCCTTAATTTGCACACTAATTGAAATACTCCTTCTCCAATCAACATATTTCATCAGTATCAAAAAAAAAAACCTTAAAACTCATTAATTCTATCTTAAAATTTAATAAGTTTTCAACTTTGTCCCCATTAAATATATACATTTCAATAACATATTTTCTCTCTCCAATATTCAATGAAGAGTTAAAAAGAAAATTTATGATAAAAATTGAATGACATGACTTATAAATAAAACCAAAAATATTCTTCTTTCTCTGCCTTATAAATAGGATCAAAGGAAGTAGATCTCTTAAGAAACAGCTTTTTTTTTTTTTTTTAGTTGGAAGGATTCTTCATTTCTAGAAAAAGTAATAATCATTGCAATATTTGCAAAATCAATGTGAACTTTTTAGTCGCATTTATAAATGGGAAAGTAAAGATTGCTAGAGAAATTCAAGGAAGGAAAAAAATACTAGAAAATGTGGCCAAGAACTCTGAAATATCCCTCACTGATTTTAAATTAAGTATTTGATAAATAAACTTCCATGAGGATTTTTTTTCCCAAATAAATAAGTGTTGCATCACAAAGCATATTGAAGACAGTGTGTGATTGCTAGGGGGAAGAGTGGCATTCTAATTAATCAATAGCACACAGACACAAACAAAACTAAAGAAATTTCACAAGAGAAGCTGATTATGAGCACACAATGACGCGTGCTCAATCATTACAAATGAACATGATTTTTAATGAAACAGAATAGCATATGTATACACACACCTTTTAATTTCTTGGTTTTCAAAATCCATATTCCTAAAAAAATCAAGAAGATTACGATCAAAGAAGAAACTGAAGCAACAAGTGGAATAACTAAGTTCGACCTTTTGCATGAATCCTCCGGACAAAAACCAAGATTATCCACCAAACTAAGGATCAAGTCAGTCATAACTATTAATTATTCACAAAAGGGTAGGAATAATAATATTAAACAAACAGTTGTGTGTGTGTGAGAGAGAGAGAGAGAGAGAGAGAGAGAGAGAAATCTCAATTACAAAGTTACATGACTTTTCCATAAGAACCTTTGAAATTGAACCTATAAGCTAGTTATCACTCAAATTACTGCAAAAAAATTGAAATATATTAACTTACTCTGGTTTGAAATCTTTGGCAGTGATTCCTTAACAATGTAGCTCAAAACTTGTAGGACTCTTTTAACTTTGGCAATTTTGCTAAAAGTTTTGGTACTGATCCTAACAAGTCATTAAATGACAAATCTCTGGAACAAAGAAAAATTTTGTCCATTGATGAAACTTGACCACTAAAACAGTTTTTCATTGTTTAATCACTCTAATAAACATACTTACAATGACACTAGCTCTACAAGCGTCAAATATAAATAATATTCACGTTATTTTAGACTCCTTTAAATACACCAAAATGTCATCAATGAATTCTATCTTAAATTTATCAAAAAATTGTCCAAGCATCATACTCATCTAATTTATAAACAATATTACTCTTGCTCTTACTTGTGTTAACCCCCCCCTTTTTTTATTCTAGTCACTTGCTCTTTCTCCATCATCCACCACCAAAGGTCATTTCAACTCACTTAAGATGCTTAAAACATCTTATTAGTAGCCAAATAGTTAGAATATATATAAACATCTCTATCCAAAAGATTACTACCGCCCAAAAGTATCGACTCTAGACAACAACACTTGGCACAAGCGTTAGCCTCTTCCAAACAAATCTTATCCCACTAAATAGGGTCAATTACACGAATTGTATAATATCATTTTACTTTATCAATAACTAATGGATATATTGTTGACCGAAACTGCCCAATAATTATCATGACAAAATCTCTGGAACAGATGACAGCTGAAACTGAGATTGGAGCAGAGGCCAATGAAATAGTGAGTGTCTGAATCCAAGTTCCAGATTAATTCATGAAAAATGTCTAGATAAATAGTCAAATAAAGAGAATCAATTAAACATAATACCAGCTCACCCTTAAGCACATCCCAGCCATACCAACTAAACCATTAAGGCATGTTGCTGAGCATGCCAAGCCACAACATCCTTATAAGCTATGTTCCCCTTAAAAATATCCAATGCACTTCCCACTGTAACATCCACACGTCCCAATCCAGCCATTTTGATCCTCTCCAGATCAGCCATCTCAGTAACACCACCAGCATAGGTGACAGAAATCTAACATACAGAATGGATAAACAATATGTACATTTAATATGGCTTTCATGGTGGAGCAAGCTGAAATTTTGGGGTAATACCACATTTTAAGATTATTACTTTCTTGGTCTAATGGTCAATTCAAATTTCCAGGCTATTTAAATACATTGATGAAGCATAAACAAAACAGGTCAAACAAAACCAAAGTAGACGAGGATTGTTACCAACCAGTGAATTCTTGCCAAACAAAGCCACAAGCTCTTCATAAAAGGGGTTTACATTTTACTCTTTGGTATAAAAATTGACTGAAGAAAAATGTCAAAACAAGTTATATCATTCCTAGATGCTTCTTATTCCAGAATTGTTTGTCAAATAAATTCACTCTAGGAAAGTAGGAGGAGCCGTTTTCATAATAGAATTCTCAACCCTAATTAATTCCAGTTGAAGACATGAACAATTTTTACTTATTTTTCCCTTCAACATCAACGCCATGAACTAGAAATTCACCAGCAAAGTTGGCGAGAAATTGCAATATTTCAGCATCACGAGTCACATCACTAAATTTCTGCCATCTATCAGTGACAACTGCATATTCACCTTCTTGAACACCAAAAGCCACAAATACAAAATTGCTAAAATGATAAAAAGCATTAAAAAAAAACATAGCACCCTAAGGAGATTTAAACACACACCCACATACTTGCATGCGTGCATGTGTGTAACATCCAAAACAGTTTTCATTTGTTAACACGTACATATGCAACGACTTCCTACCAGTTGATAACCTCTCATCTCTCAGATTAGATAGGATTGCTCTTGAATATTTTATACCTGTTAGCTGAATATTAAATCACAGTATTCACAAGTCCATAAAAGAAAATTCTTACTGAAATCTCAAGTTACTAGAGTTGTGCTACACATTAGTGCCAAATCACTCTTCCAGAATTTTTATTTTTCCGGGATAGAATAAACTATTTAATACAAATAAATCTATTTGACCGTTTTTCTGCAGCTGAGATCCAACACAAGCCCCTGTCTTCCACCAATTCGTACAAGATCTTTGAGCCTCTCGAGATCCATTTGTCCATTGTTAAATACATACTGAGAAGACAGAAAACAAATAATATAACGTCTCCATCCATTCTCAACCAAGAACTGTCTCTACAGAAGGTTACTTTATATACTTTTTTTTTTTTTTTTGGTTAGTTATCCCTTTTCAGAATAGTATAATTGAAATGCAAAGTTATTTGCCTTTCTCAGTACTGAACAAATATGTGATTTTTTTTTTTTTGATAAAAAAAATGATTTTATTTTAAATCTCTAGATTGAAACAGATGAATATAAAAGATGGAAAAGTGCGCATGATTGCAGACCCAGACATGCCTTATATAATTTAAGAGTTGTTCCAAATGAATTTAACTATCAAGTCTGTATCTATCAGCATTTGGCGAGACATATCATTTAATGGGGAGTAAAAAAAGCTGAACAAATCAAAGAAGATAAAACATACAGATGTGACAATGACATGGCTTGCTCCTTCGTCAATGTAACTCAAACAATTGTCAGAATTTATTCCACCTCCAACTTGCAGACCGCCTACAAGTTACCAGTCCTCCACAGTAAGTTCAGCTCAGCCAAAAAAAAAAACAAAAAAAAAAAATCTGTAAATTTTTAGCATATCATCAACCACAAAGAACAAAGGCAATGCAAATAACTTGGAGGCAGCAGTCAACACGATCCACATGTTACGAGAGACATTGTCTCATGTTATGTTATAAAGTATCAGCACGGAAACAACAAAGAATACACTCAATTTGTGGCTAACTGACTAACAAGGTAAACTAGAGATCCAAGCAGCAACCAAAAAAAGAAATAAAAATAGAGGTCATCCTACAGATGGTATTCACTCGCAGATACTAAATAAGCAACTAAATATTGGCCAATCTAATTAATATCAGACCTAGTTTAGGAGTTCCTTTTTCTTTCTTTCCATTCGATTAATCCATCTAGCATTTCCAGTTGCACTTATTACAAGTTCAAAACAAAGATTATCACGATCTATTTCAGCTTCACTCTGTTGCACTCCACAACTCCACAATAATGGCACTAACTGGTGGTAACACCCCACTTTAAAATACACACACAGACACTCGAAGGAAAATGAAAACCAATGAATTAAGAATAGTACCTGGATAAGCATGTAATGCCTCTAAGGCAGCAGCTTTGCTTAAAGGATCTGCTCCAAGCATAATTACATGACCACCAGTAAGCCCATCCTCTTTATAAAGATCAGCATACTCAGCCGCTGACTTATCAGATTCAAAATTGGTCACAGGATTAGACCCATCCCCCTTTAAATCTTGAAGTGTTGATCCAACAATTTGTTTCACTTTACCCTGCCACAAATGTGAAAACAAGATGAATTTATCCAATACCTCGCCACATACATATAAGTTCTTTCACTGTTCACGTACTATTATCATGGCCATACAAAATCAAGCCATTGAAACCACAGCAATTAACATCAAGTTTTTTGCCCAAAAAAAAATTGCGGAGTATGATAAAAATTTGACAAACTAAAGACTAGCATACCTTGTGTATATCAATGCAAGGATGGAATTGAACAGAACAATGAATGGAAGTCTGAGGTTTTCCTATTAAGTGCAAAAACAAACAAATATTAGAGAGAATGTAATAAGTAACTAATGCAGTATCAAACACAGAAAAGGGAATATGAGCAGATATTAAAATACTCGAGACTGAAGAAAGCCAGAATACATAAAAACACTGCTTGTCGAGGCCCTAAGTTGAATTCTTTACACATATCCCTGAGGAAATTGAACACCGGGTGTTGGAGTTCCAGAGATCTTCAGCATTCTCACCAACTGCTAAATGTCCAGGTTTTGGGGTGTCCTCCTATGCTGTGAACGAATGACAGCACCAGTAGCTATGACTGTAAAGAGCATGTCCAAGCCAAAATGTGTCAAGTTCTACAATATAAACTGGCTCTACAACATATTATTTAACTTCTTGATTATTGCTTGAGTCATGTCAGCTAATAGAAATATCATAGCGTAAACGCATTAATGAATTTATGACAGAAAAAGATTCTACAACAGAGTTCTGCTCCTCTTTTGGCTCTTCGTTTTTCCCTGCGAAAAGTTCCATGCAGGAATAATCCTAGACCATAATACAAGAAAACTTATAACAAAGGACCAATAAATGAGGGCTAAAATCTTCAGCAGCAGCTTTTTTTTTGGGGGGGGGGGGGGTTTTTAAGAATACAGTTTTGTTCTTTGTTTTTTTTTTTTTGAAAAAAAAAATAAATTGCCCAATTCAAATTACACCATTAACAAGACAGCGAAAAAAGCAAGACAGAGGAACTGCAGCAATTTAAAACCACAGGCCATGAAGTAGCAGGAGCATAGGCGGACTTATACTACACTCAGTGGGGTCATCTGCCCCCTGCTGAAATCTTTGAAATATGCATAGTTGATATAATAACCTTTTAATTTGTGTTCCAGATACTTTGACACAACTCAAGCCAAGTCGTTTACAAGTCATATATCACAAATAACTTGAGAATTTTCCAAAATTGAATAATTGATGATAATATAAAAAGATTAATAAACAGAGTACCAATACACAACAAATCCAACATTGCAAAACAACACAATCCAAATCACAAAGTCGCTGGTAATCAAAATGAAGAGGGAAGAAGTGTAATATTCCCAAATTCAAAAGCGTCAATATTCAACGATTACACGACCAGATTCAAAGCCAAATTAAAAACAACGTAATAAAAGCCACGGAGGAAACAGATGACGCGGGGAACAAATTCAAATCTAGATTCAAAGCCAGATTGAACAAATCAATCTCACCGGACATTGAGAGCCAAAAAAAGCCCTAGGGTTTGAAACTTCTTTACTTCTTGCCCGAGAACAACCAACCAGGGCTAGCAACGGTGGACGGCGTCCGACAGAGCGTGGAATGCGGTTCGGCGACGAAGAGAACTGGGTCCGGTACTCACGAGAACGGTGTTAATCGGGGTTATTATTGTTATTAATTTTAGTTTATAATTTGGTATTAGTTGAAAATTAATGATTCAAATAGTAAAATTAAAACTCCGAATACAATTTGTATTTTATATTTTTTTTTTCTTTCTCATTCTTTCAATGATTTTCTCATACCCATTTTTTAAATTTTTCTCCCAAGTAATTGAAAAGAATCTTAATTTTTTTTTTTATATAGGAGAATGTCAATCAAGTCTTCAAAAAAAATTAATAATAATTACGTTCTTAAAAATATTTTTTAAAAATAAATTAATTTAAATAGCTATAAATTTAAGAGTGTTAATTTCAAATAAAATATTTAAATTTTAAATATATTAATCAATTTATAACTCATATTTCTATTTATAAATATTTAAATCCATAACTACAATTCATTTTAAAAAAAATTATTAAGAAATTCGCAGTCATTAATTCATATTTCATTGTTATTCTTCTAATTTTTTTTTTTTTTTGTAAGTAGAACCTCAATTGTTTACTATACTAAATTAGATGAGAGTTGGTAAAAGAAAATAGATGAGAGAAATTAAGTTTTTTTAAAAAAATTTGTATAAATTCTATGAAGCAAACTTATATATAAATAAAATTTATAAAATTTAAAAACTATAGTTAGGTCCTAAAAGATTTGAGTAAAATTTGAAATTAAAGTGTAGAAACAATAATGTTTATGTTAAAAATATATTACATCAATCAAATAATTTAAAATTATTTCATTAATAATTTACAACTATCATTTTAACTTTTTATAATTGTAACTTCATACATTTAATTTGTAAACTAATCATATATTACAAGTGTAATACTAATTGTATACAATTAGTTTATTAATATTTACAACTATCACTTCTACATTTTATAACTATAACTTTATATATTTAATAGTTAAGCCGATCATGTGTTAGTAGTAAAGTTTAACACTAATTGTTTTCAATTACTTTATTAATAATTTACAACTATAACTTCAGTAATTTTTAATAGGATAATATTTTTTTTGTATTCCCATTTTAAATTACACTCAAATCTTAAAAAGTATAGCTATAGTTTTAAAATTTTATAAAATTTATTTATAAATAAGTTTAGTCTATAAAATCTATACTTAATTTTTCCAAGTCTTTTTTTTTTCACTAGAGTAAGGGAAAAAGAGTTGATTAAATAAAAGTAAAGCAGTAGAAAAAACATATTTTTTTTATACATCCAAAGAGAAAAAATTGAATAAGTCCAGCTAAAAAATAAACTTCAAGATTAATTTAGCATAACAAATTTTAATTAAAGAAAATTTAATAATACATATAATTAATAAGCTCGGACTATAACTTAGTATGTATGGAATCTTTTATTATAACTTTTTTATATGACAATCTATATGAACACTATATTTTGTCCAGACATTTTTTAAATTTAATAAAAATAATAATAAATAATTAAAAAATATAAAAATAAAATTTAATCCTTTTTAGTATTATATTTTCAAAAAAAATTAATAGGGTTTAATTTTATTTTACCCTTGATAATCTCTTGTTGATTAGAATTTTATTTATTTTAGTTCATTAAAATAACCAAAAAAATATGAAATACAAAAGTAAAATTTAATCCTTTTTTAAGATTATATTTTAAAAAAATAAATAATAATCTAACCAAATAAAAAAAAAGAGGTTAAATTTTAAAAAATATTTCTCAAATTATCTCAATCATTCAAAAATATTGAGAGTCAATTTTTGAGAGTTAATTTTTCTTTCCTTAAATCTTGTTTTTCATTAAAAAAATATTCTTAATCTAATTTCAAAAAAAAAATAAACATTAATTATAAATAATAATAAAAGGCTATGGTGAAACGCATAGCATTTCACCACAGCCAAGAGCAGACCTTTTCGGTGTTGATCAGGAAGGAAAGAAAATAGAAACACAAGCAAAGAATGCCAGAAGCATACACAGTCACAAAACAGAGAAAGGAAAAAACAAAGAGCAAAAAGCAATGCATGCAGCAGACAAAAAACCAAACTGCAGGAAAGCTTCACAGAGAGAACATGTGAACATGCAGTAGAAAAAGAGAGAGATGCAGAGCAAGCAACCACAGCCCCAAAGCTTTGGCCACGCAGCAGAAAAGAGAGCAGAGAGCAGGCAAAAAAAAACTAGACATGCACACAGACTGCACACATGAAACATACGCAGAAAGAGAGCAGCAGACAATAATAGAAGACCAGATGTACGCATTGAAGAAAGCACAAAGATGCACGCTACAAAAAAAAAAAGCAAAAACAGGGCACAGAAGAGATAGTACAAAGATAGTGAATGAAGGAAGAGAAAACTAAAAAAATAGAGCATAAAAGAGAGAAGACAAACTGAGGACGAGAAGGAGGAGGAGATGAAAAAAACACCAGCGAAAGAAAGGAGAGAACACAGACACAGCATGCACACAAGAGGAAGATCTAGAGAGAGAGAGCATGAATGAAAAAAAAAACAGAGCATGGAGGGAAGGGCATCCGAAAATGAGAGGAAAGGACACAAGAGGATGGGAATCAACAAGAGAGAAAAGAGACTAACAGAAAAAGAGACGGAGAAAAAAAAAGAAGAGATGGAGAGAAGAGAAGAGAGACCGAGAACGAGAGAGATCGAGAGTAGCAAAAAAATGAAAACAGAGCACGAGGACGGATGGAAAAGAAGAAAAGGCAGCGACAGTTGGATGCATGCGGATGTGGGTTTTTAGGCTAAAACGGGAGAGAAAGACCGAGAGGGAGAGAATACTGAAAACAAAAAGATGAAAATCGTGGATGAGAGCAGAGCCGAGGGTGGAAGAAGACATTTTGAAAATGAAGAAAGATTGAAAATTTATGGAGAGAGAGAGAGAGAAGATCTCTGGTTTCTTCTTTCTCTGGGTGGAGATACTTGTGAATGTTCTGTTTGTAAAGTAAACACGCATCTCTTGTCCTATTTGGTCATTTGACCTAATGTTGCATCATTTTAAGGCTTGCTTTTAGACCCTCGGATTTCATCGCAACTCAACGGTGGAATCTAAAGGAAACTTACATCAAGTAATGGCCCATGCAGCAGAGGATGAAAAGCTAGAGAAAGCAAAAACATTTGGTGCTAACCGTGGGAGCAATGATGGGGCCACACTGGAATCATAGGCTGCTTCAACTTAAGGATGTAGTCATTGATAGTTAAATCAGGTAATATTTAAATCATGTCAGCTCCCTTAATCTGAATTCATTGATGAACATATATATATATATATTGATAGATGTTAAGAGTGTGGACTGATCCAGATGAATGTTTAGACATTAAAAAATTTAAGAATACAATGTTTTTATGAATAATTTAGAACATATCTGATAGGTGTTTGACAAAAAAAAAGCCTGTGAGAATATTGTTGATAATTTATAGGATGATTGTGGTTTGAAGCCGTATCTACCATGGTTATGATCTTGCTAAAAGTTTATGCCAAATCTAAATTTTTTTTAGAATATATCCCCAATTCAATAGAATAGTGAATTGTCAAAATAGTTTATTTCTCTATTCTTTCCAGTGCCTTTATTGCGTGAATTGTTTAGCCAACCATAATATTATGCACCGACTACAAATGCAAATGTTTCAATTATCTATTTGTCATGTGAGATTTTAAGAATCTCCATAGGCATTTAGAATGATTTCATACCGTATAAATCAATAAGATTTTGTAGGTACGAGGATCAATCTTGTGGGTATTTATATAGGTTTCAAAGGCCTATTATTAAAATTAATTTTCTTTTTATAATAAATATTTAAATCTCATGTGAGATTTCAAGAATCTTCGTAGAGAATTAAATTAA